AATCAAAACAAATGTTTAAACTCAATTATCTCGAAATGAGATAAATGTAAAAATGGGCCCTTTTAATTGAAGACACCTCATATATTGGAAAGAGGACTTATCATGAGTTTGTACTGTTCAGTTCATGTGATACCCTTCATTAAAGTGATTATATCACGCTATCTGCTAGCTTATATTCTTTTATACAACTTATATTATATGAATACCCCAAATCTTCTACTTGTATACTAGCCTTATATCTCAAGCCAGGTCTTGCTGCCGCTACCCAGTTTGCCATCCCCAGGTCTTAGTATTTCCTAAGTTATCTGATGCAGTATACAAATTTTTATATATTAAAATTTCTTTATATATTAATTTTAATATAAAATTTTATTAATACAGTCAAACCTCCATAAATACAACGTGTACAGACTAGTCTAAAACGTGCATTTAGGGAGGTTTGTATTTAGTAGCCATGTGTTTAGAAAGAAATAAAAATGAGTGGCCAGAGATAAGAAAGGAATTACTGAAAGAATTAAATGAAAATAAGCAATTTTACTAAATATTATTTCTAGCTAATGATGATTATAATACGATTATAAAAAAGATTTCTTGAAAGAGTAGTCCTTGTATATTCAAACATTGGATAAGAATGCCACAAACAGGTGATATATAGCAAATATTTACCAAAGGCTATTATACTTTTTCTCATTACAAATAAGTCTTACCTTCTTTCCATATCACCACCCCTTGAACCAAAATGAAGCTCTTGCAATAGCTTTCATTAATAATAATCATTATGTAGTACTAGTATTGAGGCCTGATACACCTGTTTTACTAATTGTTAATCGATGGTCACAATAGCTGCAGCATGCTAGAAGTTATTGATCCAAGATCGTATTACTCAATTTCTTTCAATAAGCGGTTCAACTAGCAAAACAGATCAAGAAAAAAATAATTATTAATTAGCTATATAGAATTAAATTTCATTACAAAATACTTGAATTTCAGAATAATTTCATCAATACATATTTTAGTTATTTGATTATACCAATTATCCATTTAATATGTTTAAGACTACAGTGTCTGACAAAAGTTTCCTCGCATTTATAACTCAGCACAGAGATATAGTAGGGAAAAAATTTTTTTTTTATTTAAAAGAACATTAAATTATATGAAAATTAATATATAGTATAATCATCCTCAGATTTAATTAGGGCCTCTATACAACACCTCATGCTCCTTACCAAATTAGCCGCATACTCTTTAGGCAATTGATTCCATTCTTTGGTTATCTGCGCCTTCAGAGTACTAAGCTTTCTAATTGTTTTTTTTGCCAGGTTCATTTTCATAAGTTTCCAGATATTTTCAATTGGGTTTTGGTCAGATGACATCGACAGCTAGGGAAGAACTGCGACATCATTTTCCTCCTTCCATGTCTTCATGATTTTCGAATGGTGCTTCGGGTTATTGTCCTCCTGCAGAATCCAACTATCACAACCTTTACCAAAAAGGTTCATGGCAGAAGGTAGAAGGTCCATTTTATACAGGGTGGGCATATATTGCGCATTAAGGTTTTATATAAAGCAAACTAACCTTTCAAAGCCCGAAGAAGAAAAACACCCCCATACGTGAACCTTTAACGGATGCTTGACGGAACAGGTTATCTTCCTTGCTCTGACGAACTGCCAAGCCTTTTTTAACCATTAATTTAAGCGGAACATACTTTAATCCGTAAATATCACAGTATCCCAATCAAAATCCTTATGTTTCTTCATTCACAAGAGCTGTTTTTCCAATGCTTCTCTCCGAGCAACGGCTTTGCGAGTTTTTCGTAATAGCAAGCCCCATCTTCACCAAGATACCGTTGAATGGTGCGCATGTGAATGTCTACATTCTGTTTAAGAAACTCATGGCAGATTTCAGGTGCTAAAATATCTACGTTCTCTTTTGCCAGCTTCAAAATCCGGTTGTCTTGTCTTTGCATAGTGACTCTTTGACAACCCGACCTTGGTTTGTCATTTAAGTCTTTGCTTTCTTGCCACCTTTTTGTCTATTCTCTCACTGTTTTTTTATCACAGCGAACCTGCTTCGCTGTCTCATGAAATGAGAGCTTGGGGCCCTTCGGGTGGCTAGTTAAAAAGGCGATTTCATATCGTTTATATAAAGGAAGAGGTATTTTTTTGATTTAAACTTGGCATATAGGCAGCATGAGCATTTTTACTATATACAGTGCCCGAAGAAGTTTAGTATGATCTGCATA